TAAGAATGAATATCACTTCAGATCTGTAAGATTCATCTTTTCACTAATTATTTATAATAACTTTACTTTTCTGTGTAGAAACACAGTAGATCTTAAGACTTGTTAAGATTTTATTAACTGTCTGTCTGTAAGTTCATATTCAATCTGATAATATAATTATATCTGACTTAGCTAGCTGATTACAGCATCATTTTTTCAGTTATTATTGAAGCTTAATAACTCTGACAGATCTCTCAGCTTAATATATCTCATACTCAGATTCTCATTCTGTACAGCAGTCTCAGATAATATATATACTTCTGAAGAGATTATGAACAATTGTAATAAGATCTTCAGATTCAGTATGATTATCTATCTATGTAAGTATTTAATCTTCTGCTATAGATCTACAATCTGGTTTTTTCTATTCTTATTAATAATGATAATTACATCAGTGAAGCTCTTTATAGTGAATACTTGATTCACAGTGAATATTATTTATTACTTAACTTTCATCTCAGTCTGTCACTGTGTATACAAGATCTCAATCTCATTTAAAATTCTTATATATATACAGAGTTTCACTTTCAGTTCAGCAGTCTTAGTCACTTTTCTTACTACTTTGAGTAAATTCTCTGAGAGATTCTGCATATCTTTCAGTTCAGATAGCAGAGAAGAGTGTTATTCATATTAACTAGAAGAGATGTTTATTTCAGTGATTTCTCATTAATTATATAATGTCTATTATCATATTATTATATTCTTATATTATTATATGATTTCTGATTTCTGATTTCTATTATCATTGTATAACTTCAGTGATAATCATTCTTCTTTTATTCTTCTAAGTAGAGAGTGATCTTCTTTAAACCAGATTCACTGCTTATATTCTCTTTCTCACATCTTATCTATTCACATATGTGATATTCATCTGAGTGTGAAGTTTTTTCTTAATAAGTAGAGTAGCATCAATTGAATACTCTTTCATTCACTTCTTCTTTATACACTATCTTTTGAGATATTTAGAATCACTCTGATATGATAACTATAAATTACTTTATAAACAGAATTATCACACTCTGAAGAAGCCTGCACATCTCATCAGTTTTTAAACATGCTATCAGATGTGATTCAAAGGTTGCTTAAGTCAGTGTATAATTACAGATGTACATCAGCTTCTTATATATATTATACTAAATTAATTAGTGGCTGCTATGACCCCTTTACATTCGTAAGCATGTTCGGAAGCGGCCGCGTTATTATCCGGCGGTCGTACGTTCTTCCGAATCATAATACACTATTACCCTGGCAGTCAGAACTCAATAACAGACACTCTCTTATAATGAGAGTAAGATATATCATTCAATGTAATAGACACTTGCTGAATGAATCAAGAACATCAGCTCTTAATATGTACAGGTAAAAATAGCACATTCAACATTTATATTAATAACAAGAACTGTCAAATCTGTAATGAGATTTTTCATGAATCTTGTAAATGATAACTATATACTATATAATGAAGCCAATCTCTCTACTCAGAGAGAAGTTAATTATTCAATAAGTATTACAGATAATGTTACATGCTATAGATAAATTATTCTTATAATATCAAAGAGTGAGATCACTGTGCATTTGATAATCTTTATTGATAAAATTGAGACTACTACTTAATATTGAATTGAGACTTTACACTGAGATAATGAAGATGAATTTAAAAATGATGAATTAAAGATCTACTATCAGTGAAAAGAAATTATATATAAGATTACTATATCTGATATACTGCAGTTCAACAGCCCTGCAGAATATATTAATTGTATTATAGATAAAAAGATAAGAAGCTTACTATTTAACAGCAGACTCATAAGAGAGCTTTGAAATAAAGCTATTTAAGTCACAGTTATAATAATCAACACATTCTCAACATTAATGAAGATTTACAGATGTTAGAGAAGAATCTTATTATTTTCTTTTAAAGCTTAAATAAGTATTCAACCTTCTACTCATGAATATATAGATGAGAATGCAAAGTGTATAAGAAGAATCTGAAAATTATCAATAAGCTTATAAATAGAACTGATGATAAGAAATGATAATTAGTTGAATATTAAGAATTATCTTAATATCATATCTGAGACTCTGTGACCTGAAAGCTTGAGATTGTAAGAGACGTTATTTTTAATGAAGAATTAACAATAGAAGAAGCACTAATGAATATCATTAAAGAAGCAGTTAAACTGTCGGAGAAATTAAATGTTTTTAATACTATAAAGAGATGATAACACTGCCTTCTAAGAAGATTTATAAAGAATAAATCTGATATTTTAAAAATACTTGCTGATGATGATATGAATAATGTACTGAAATTAATATATCTACTAGATAATAAGACAGAACTTGTTAATGATAATCTAAATAACTCTGTGAATAATGAAGATTCTGTACTCAGTGTTTTTAATAACTGTCTGATCATACTGACAGAGGTCAAAAGAAGTCATAACTGAAAACATTAACATCAGACAATGAAGAAGAAAGTGGAAACTTTTAAACAGAAAAAGATATATATTATTATTAAAAAGACTCTGAAAATTAACATTCTTACAGACAAATGAATGTATAATTGAAAATTAAATAATAAGAATAAAGTCATCTGCTTTAGAGCTTGTTAAGTGATTAGAAGATTTCTACAATAACAAGATATTTATTATAATAAGTTATATACAGCAGTGGTGTCTGAGTCTATATCACAGAGCTTATTCACTATATCAATAGCAAGAGATTGAAAAGTCTGATTAATTGACTATATATCTGTGTTTTTAAATGAGGTATTACCTTAGAATAAGATGATATTTATGCAACTACTCACAGAGATCAAGCATGATTGTGATGAATTAGTAAAGCTTGTATATCAGAGCTTATACAGAATGAAACAGACAGTGAGAACATAGTATTTTCTAGTAACAGAACATCTCATCACATTGAGATTTAAGATATTATCTTATAACAGCAGATTTCTATATCACTCTGTTCACAAGATCTATTTAACACTGCATGTTAATGATTGTCAGATAATCAGACTTCAAGAACAGTAATTAGATTGAGTATTAAAAAAGATTGCAAAGAGATTTAAGACAAAGAATATTAAAGAGATCAAGTCATATCTTGAAATGAAGATTAAACACTAGAGAAATGATAATTTAGTGATTACACAAAGCTGTTATATTGAGAAGATTCTTGAAAATTACAGTATGAATATGATAAATCCAGCTGACACTCTGATAATAATCAGTATATGACTGAAATTGTCACCTGATAAGAGAGAGAGATTGAATAATAACTTTACAGCTATAAGATATTATCAAGAATTGAAATCATTACAGTATTTAATCTCAAGCAGTCAGTCAGATCTGGTATTTATGATCAACTATCTCTTGTATTTTAACTCACATCTGTACAAAGCTTGTTAAGCAGTGTTGAAGCATGTTCTGCATTACATTAAGAAGACAAAAAATCACAGTATATTATACAGAAAGAAGATCAGTGATAAGAATCTAAGTTTTATAACATACTGCAATTTAGACTAAGCAGGAGCAGATTCTCAATACAAATTAACTATCAGCTATATTATATTGATTAACAGGTCACTGATCTTATAATAATTGCAGCGACAGATATCTATCATTAAATTAATTACAGAAGCTGAATATATTATAGCTAGTAAGACAGCTTATAAGATAATCTGATTGAATGATATATTATATGACACTGAGTTGATGAATAATAAGAAACTAAAAATATACTCATATCTATGAGTTAATAATAAGAGAGTAATCAATCTAGTGAAAGAGAAGTTCTTAATATGAAGATTGTATTATATTAAGATTAGATATCATATTCTTTATAATCTGATTAAAAAAGAGAAAATTATGATGAAACATGTTAATTCTACAGTGAACATAGCTGATAGTCTCACCAAGTCACTAATAAAGCCTGTGTTTGAAGATTTTGTCAAAAGAATTAATTTAAAAGAGATCAGAAAGAAATGATTGAATGATAATAATAATACAGTAAATTAATGAATTTTGCATGTATTTCTTGATTTTTACAGTTATTACTGTACAGACGCCTTTTCTAATAAGAAAATCAGGGTCTGATTAATATAATTAATTATTATTGCATTTTTGAAAGAATTGAGAATGAGAGAGGCCTCGGGTAGCGACTTATAGATCACAGTATAGCAAGGGATAGACTGATCATGTGACTAGACTAGTTACTGAGATCATGAATTTCATGTTTGATCTCATTTAATCTGATCTCATACATTTCTTGATGTGAATTCTGCTGAGACTAGTCATTAAAAAAACATGTAAAGTGACTATATATTAAATCTCAAAATGAAATCATGACTTGAAAAAAATGAGAAAGTGATTTCATTTGATCTCATTTAGTCTTATTCTTAGTATAAAGTTACTATTTTTAGATATTTTAAGGTTTTTTTTAGACTATTTTTAATTTTTTAAAAAGTAATGCTTTTTAATAATACTTAAATAAGATTTAAAGTCATTTAAAGTAATAAAAATAATTTAAATTGAGAAGTGAAAATCATGATTTCATTTGAAAAATATGATAAGAGTAGACAGTAAGTCTTACTAAGATAGTATGAGACTACTATCTAATATTAAAACTATGTAATGAGATCAGTTAAATTAATAATAAAACTATCAAAAATTCTGATTCTAATCTCAGACACAGTTACATAGTAAGTCTATATATAATTATATCTGAGATCAGAATCAGAATATTTAATAGTCTTATTATTAATTTAACTAATCTTATTACATGACGCCAAGAAATGTATGGGACCAGACCAAATGGGATCAAATGTGAAATTCATGGTCCCAGCGGCCAGTCTAGCAAGGGGGGGTGTTGGTGATTACTACACCTACCCTAGTCACGTGCCACCCCAACCTATTTAGTGTAACTCGCGTAAATAGATTACACAACACAACAACGTTATCCTCCAAGAGTAGACCGCCTCCGTCTGATCGTGACGGAACGCATCTTCCAACGAAGGCAGGGATCAGGGATCTTATATTGGCCCATAATAATAGATAATAGATGGGAAGTCGCGTTGATGGGGCTAAAAAATCGCGTCGTAATGTTGTTGGAGTAGCCTTGGAACTTGCGCCGCTGACGGCGTTAATAATTATTATAGACCCACCCCTGTTCGTCGCGGTTCGATTAGGCACCCATGCGCCGTTCCCCTGCTTTGTTCGATGATAGGTTGCTGCCCAACCCTCCATGGAGCTGAACTAACGTTCTGCTGAAAGATTTAAACTGTTGGTTCCCTCACCCTATCCTGTCCAACTATACACGCTTGTTTTTGCCCTACATTATCGATTTGTTCAGTGCGGCCTCCACACATCTCGTTGATTTTGTTACGATTTGCAGAATTATTATTAACTAATTAACTATTAGTTAACTAGTTAATCTGATTTGCGAGGCAAATACAGCCGGAAGTATGATAATCCGTTCCGTCAATTTGTTTACTACGTTTGTTCACATACAGGCGTTATAGGGAGATTGCTATAAGATTGTGCTTTAGAATGGATCGGACAACACAAGAATTGTTAGCCCAAATCGAGCAAGAAAAACGACGGCGTCAAGACGCGGAAGCGGAGGCCAGAAGCGAAAGAAGGCTACGTGAAGGAGAGCAGCGACGACGTGAAGGAGAGCAGCGACGACGTGAAGAAGTCGAACAGCAAATTCAAGACTCCACACTCCCCGAATTTCTCGACACTTGCCACGTGCAATTATTTCTCGGCCTGAACGTACAGGAAGACAAGCGCTCATCGACTAAGGGAGATCCGTCGAATGCTGATAGGAAACTCCGTCCAGATAAGATTCAGGAGTGGACGGATTTTCCAAAGGAGCAAACTGCAATATGGGAGGATCTCATGGACGCAGATTTTGTTACAGAGCGCCATTTCACACCCCTGTTTGCGTTGAAGATATTCGGCAAACAAATCCGAGAAAAAATGCTGAGCTCTGAGCTGGATCTTAGTTATTTCGAACGGCAGACTGTCGAGTCGCTTGTCGCCTCGGTCATCAAACAGCTCTATGCGAACCCCCGACTTCGACAAACCTTCCACCTCAATGGAGATGTGACCTTCGAAAACCACGCAAATACCTTGACTGACGAGTCAAAGATAGTTGCAGATATGGGCTCTCTCAGCTTAACACAGGAGAAACCGCCGCGTCGGTCAAAGCGCTTGGCTGCAAAGCGATCGGATGAGGAGTTGGTTCCAGCCCCACTACCCGTGAACAACCAAACGAGATCACAGCTCAAGCCTGCTCGGCCTAGAGCGGACCAGTTCTGCGTGTACAACAGGGGTCCTGATGAAAAGGTGCCTGCCTTCATTATCGAATACAAACCGCCCCATAAGGTTTCCCTTGCTCATGTAAAGGCCGGCCTTGAGGACATGGAACTTAACCAGGTGGTCCGGTGTCAGGAAGATAAAAAACCCGAAGATATTTGTCGCCGTGTTGTGGCTGCGGTCATTACGCAAGCATTTTTCTACATGATAACTGGGGGGCTAGAGTATGGGTACGTGTGTACCGGCGAAGCGTTCATATTTCTTCGTGTGCTTGACAGTGATCCTTCCACCGTATACTACTATCTATCAATACCCAAAGAGGACGTTGGCGAAACAACCGGGTGGACTGGTGACCTGAATTGTGACAACCGCCTGCATCTTACCGCGCTTGGTCAGGTGTTGGCCTTTACTCTTCGGGCTTTGCGAACGGCACCACGAGACCTCGGTTGGAGGAACTGGGCAATGAGCAAACTGAAGACGTGGGAAATTATATACGATGTCCTTCTGACCGAAATATCGGAGAAGAACGTTCCTTCCTCAGACTTCAAACCATCGCCACAGACTAGAAGGGAATACTGTCGCGTATCTCCAGTTAAGACGAGATCGAGGTCTGCGGTGGCTAATGTCGCATCCTGTAACCCATCGCAGGGTCTAATCTCGCTCGATCGCGACGACTCCGACGATGAATTTGATCCTAATACCCCCAGTCGAAGACCTCGAGATTCTCGCTTGCCACGCCCATCAGCGTGGCCATCGCTATCAGCCGGCGCCACGACGTCGCAGGGAGATGCACAGTCCAAAGGCAAATCTCGGCAGTATTGTACGCAGCTCTGCCTTCGAGGCTTGGCCACAGGAGGGAAATTAGATTGGGAATGTTCCAATGTGTTGGACCATGGAGTCGATCGACATCAAATCAACGCGACGACACTCATCGGTCTGTTGGATCGGCAGTTATGCAGCGGTGACCTGCGGCCCGACTTGGAGCTCGGGTGCGAGTCGTTGCATATTCATGGGAGCCGCGGGGCGCTGTTCAAAGTGACGCTGCTATCAAACGGATACACTTTTGTTGGAAAGGGCGTGCCGGTGGAGTTTGTGGACTGCTTGAAGCATGAGGAGTCGGTATATTCGCGTCTTAGTCAGATACAAGGGATACACGTGCCAGTTCTACTTGGCAGTCTAGCCCTTTCTCGGCCGTTCTACTACGACGGCATCGCGGAAATCGTCCATATGATGTTCATGGGCTATGCTGGAAGGACGCTCAGCTAAGCGACACGAAATAGACCAGAGTCAGCTGACCCAGCAAGCTGAGGATTCCCTGCATGCCATTCACCGGTTAGGTGTGCTTCACAGTGACCCGATACCTGGAAACATGACCTGGAACAAAGGAGAATGGCCGAGTAATGTTCATTGATTTTGAGCGGGCCAAGTTTCAGAATCCACGCATGCCACTGGGGCCCGTTTCACCAAATAATAGGCGCAAGCGAGCGCTATATGACAAGCGCCGTAGCAAGTGTTTTAGTTCCTTTGAGCGTGAAACGCTGCTCATGAGACACGACCTGCAATCTGTGGAAGGTGTAACGCTTTGATTGAAAAGGTTGCTAGCTTGGTGTATACAGAAAACTTGCCCTTCAGGAAGCAGAAAACTTGACCTCGCTCACAAATGTGGCCTGTGCCACTACCTGACCTCGCTCAATACATCTTTTCTTGTAATTTGAAACCACTCAATTATTTATCATCAATTCTATAATCAATTCTTAATTAATTCAAAATCAATTCAAAATTAATTTAATACTGAAATTATTCTTGAATTTAATAATAAAGTAAGTATTTATATAACTTACACTGAATCAATTATCAACTGATTTTCAATCAATTATTAATTACTTAAATATATAGATTGAATCTATTTTTATTATTATAATTAATTAATAATTAATTCAGAATCAATTTAAAATCAATTCAAAATC